AAGTCACCCAGCTGGCTTTCATGCCTAAGGTGGGACTAGAACTCACCATCTCCTGGTGATTGGTCCAAAGTCACCCAGCTGGCATTCACATCAAAAGTGGGACTAGAACTCGCCATCTCCTGGTTTCTAGGCTGGTGCCTTAACCAAACAGTTTCTCTTTATTATTACATTTATATGCCACCCGTCTCCTTGTGTCAAGTTACTCTGGGAAGTTTATGGTTCTATCAAAACATAAATATAAGGGTATTAAAAGCATTAAAATTAAAATGAACAACAATTGACGAAAGAAATTCCATCTGCCAAGCAAAATTTTGCCTGTGTGGACTTTTCACAACTATCCTGATATTGTCAATACAGATTGGGATGTTCTGAATATTTGAATATCAGTTCAGTCCCGTTGGTTAATGAGCTCAATAAAGAAAATGACATTCCTAATAAATTATGATTATCACCCTGGAGACATCATCATAAATTGTGCCAAATTAGCATCAATTGTAACAGATTGTGATGATCGCCCAGGATAAATGATCATAAATTGTAATAAATTGTGATTCTTATCCTGGATAAAATGATCATAAATGCAACCTCCCCACCCCACTTCCCAAAAGAGGATCAGATTAAAATATTTTACCAGTTTGCGTTTTTCTGAAGTATAAAACCTCTAGTTTCAGAGATTCTGGCTTGGTCCAGACCGTGAATTCAAACTCTTCTCTTATTTGGATTATTCTTAAACGAACTTGTTGACATAAAGAGTTCAAATAAATGCCTAGAAGGTCCTGAAGAACCATAGAGTATTTCTAGCATGGTCCCAAATTCCACCATCGTTCTATTACAGATCTGGCCATTTTATGACCTCTGGGCCACATATTTGAATGTTCCTTTCTGGCCCACATTTGATGGCTTTTTATTTTTAATGCGGCTGTTATTTTTCCTCTAATGTACGTAGGCGTGTGAATGCCTACACATCTTCACAGCCCTATTGGTACAGTCCTCCACAACTCTTCAGAATTCTCCTGTGGCTCCTTGAAAAAATTAATTGCCCATTCCTGCTCTTATCTGCCTTCTTTCCCTACCAAGATCTTGTGACATGTTAATACCACTTCAATTTTGGTCGCCATATATAAATTTTGAGACCCTAGAAAGAGTGCAGAGAAGAACAGCAAAGACAATTAAGGGCCTGGAGGCTAAAAGATATGAAGAACAGTTGCAGGAACTGGGTATGTCTAGTTTAATGAAAAGAAGGACTAGACGTGACATGATAGCAGTCTTCCAGTATCTCAGGGGCTGCCCCAAAGAAGAGGGAGTCAAGCTATTCTCCAAAGCCCCAGAAGGCAGGACAAGAAGCAACGGATGGAAACTAATTAAGGAGAGAAGCAACCTGGAATTAAGGAGAAACTTCCGAGCAGTCAGAGCAATTAATCAGTGCCACGGGTTGCCTTCAGAAGTTGTGGTCCATCTTCTGGAAGGCTATTAATTAATGGAATGGCTTGTCACCAGAAGTTGTGGGTGCTCCATCACTGGAAGTTTTCAAGAAGAGACCAGACAAGCCATTTGTCTGGAAGGGTATTGGGTTTTCTTGAGTGAGGGGTCGGACTAGAAGACCTCCAAAGTTCCCTTCCACCTCCCGCTTGGACGGGGGGCTGGACTGGATGACCTATAAGATCCCTTCCAACTCTGATTCTCAGTTATCGGTTATAGGTCGTGACAGAAACAAGATACATTGACCTGACTTCTTATTCTGTTACTCCGTTCTCTCCTAGGTCGACGGCATCCTGAAAACAGTGCTGCGGGATGAAACCATCGCTTGGCACAAGAAGACCCAAGAGGACACATCGTCTCCGCTCTCAGCAGCCGGGCAGCCAGAGAACATGGACAGCCAACAGCTGGTGTCGCTGGTTCAGAAAGCTGTGACGGCCATCATGACCAGGCTCCATAACTTGGCCCAGTTCGAAGGCGGAGAGAGCAAAGTCAACACCTTAGTTGCGGCCGCGAACAGCTTGGACAACCTGTGCCGCATGGACCCCGCCTGGCATCCGTGGCTGTAGACACCTCCCGAAGACTTGGATGATCGCAAAACCCGCTGAGATACAACAAGGACTTTTCAGATCCATCATGGATGGTTCTTCACCCATCGCGGCACTGATGCGTTTCCGGCAGGATCGTGTTTCCAGGAGCTGTGGTGTTTTTAGACTTTCATCTCAAAGTTAAGATCCCATCCTCATCATGGTGGCATCTCTCCACTCCGAGGAAATCTTCAAAAGGACGAGATTTGAACTTTTGCACACCAGGCAATCCTGTTTTATGCAGCGAGCAAGAAGAGCGAAGACACCGGCGAGAGTTGAGACTCGCCAGTTTGGTTTTATTTTTTTAAAAAAAGAATTATCCCCTCCTTGAGGATACTGATGTGTGAAGTTGTTGGGTTTTTTTTAAATTGTTTACTTTCTTGGTGATTACAAAGACACTTGAAAGACCATTTTAATCCATCCCAAAACGTAGGCGTGTTAGGGGGCATTGTACAGAGATTTTTATAAGAAAAATGTACAGGTTAAAAAAAAAAAACACTTGTTTTTGTTGGTGTTGTTAATTGTTTTCAGTTGCTAGTTGGTAAAAACAAACAAACACCAGGAAATGATCAAATTGTGCTGCTTCTACGAACTTTCTACAGTGAAAGTGGACTCACTTCTGGGTTGGTGAATCCCTTAGGCCTAAGAGGAATTTCCTAAACCTGAGACTCGTCCGTTAAAGTATTTGGAAGTAACCCATTCGCTCAAATCCCCCAAAAAACTTTTGGAAACTCTTTGAAAACCTTTATTTTTTTGTTTTTGTTATTTGTTTTTCAGCTCTGACACATTTAAATGTATATCCTTAAAGTAACTTCCGGTGGAGCTGTTTCGTTTTTTCATTTTTGTAGTTTTAGCTGTGTAATTTAAAAGAAAGAAGACATTGTTTTTATTGCATCCATCTTAGCCTTTTTTTATATATAAAACCGTATTGCAATACTGAGAATGTTCCCATTCGAATTTGTAAGGAGTGAACTTTTCTTCAGAATAAATATTTTCTAAAACGTCGGGAATGGGCCTTATTTAGCTCATGGTGGTGTTTTAAATGGCCATAGGAAACCTTTGGACAATTGTAGCCAGGCCTCGCACACCCCGACACCTGCCTTGCCGGCCCATTTCTTCTGCAGCTGCAAGGCTGGCCAGGATTTCCTGAAGGCCTCTGGAGCTGAGGACAAAGCTCTGGATCGATCCAGAGCTCTTATCGGCTGCAGAGGCCTTCAGAAAAGCCTTGCCGGCTGCAGAAGAAGAAGTTCTTGAAGGCCTCTGACAGCGAAAAGGAGGTCGGGGGCGATGCGCACAAGTGAGGTTAGTCAATGGAGGACATCCCCCGAAAATAAGACCTGGTGCCTTTTTTTTTGGTGGCAGAAAAATATATAGAAGACAGGGTCTTATTTTCAGGGAAACACGGTAGTTACTTTTTCCTCAGAAAGCATTTCTCAAATGACTTCAATTCCCATGTTCCTTGGAATTCCGAAAGAAAATGATAGATGGTGGGATCTTCTGAAGATAAGAGTCCACCTGACCGGATCCTAAAACCTTGAAAATTTAGGAATCTTGCCAAACTCAAGCAAACTTCAAGTAGATCTTTATTTTTGACCATAATGGAGCCTGTCCACAATAGCTTAATTCATGTTTTGCTAACTGCTGCATTCCTTCACCAGGGTCATTTCTGTGCTTCTCTCTAGCAAGATCTTGGAAGGAGAAAGAGATTTGAAGGACAGCCAGAAAACAGCCTTGCCAGCTGGCCTTCTAAGATACGGGTATTTTGAATCGCCCACATCTGCCCTTGGATCCAAGGTTGATTGTAGAATACAAGAAGAAGTTGTCCATCCCAGGACCCAAAGGAAGGACAGGTGCTCCCTTAAGGCAACGATCTGCAAGGAGACACTCATACACTTGGAGTGTGTGATTGCAGACACAAGATACACCATAGCAGTTGTGCTTGCCATGGAGGAGGGAACCCTAAGAAAACAAACGACACAGGACATCCTGAACATGGCTACGGGCCTCAAAAGTGAATGTTTACTATGCTAGAAGTGGGAACAATTACTAAGTGTGATCCCTGATGATTCTTGACTCTTGATGAATGTATCTTTTCTTTTATGTACCCTGAGAGCATTCGCACCAAGACAAATTCCTTGTGTGTCCAATCCCACTTGGCCAATAAAGAATTCTCTTCTCTTCTCTTCTCTTCTCTTCTCTTCTCTTCTCTTCTCTT